GCCGGGTCTTCCCTCTTCCAGCGCTTAAAAAAAAAACCCTCTCTAAGATAACGCGTAGGTTTGTTGGGTTTGTTGGCGTTTTCGCAAGGACGAGGTGAAGATAGCTTTATTGCCGGGGTGGGGGCGATGGTTCTGTTTCCAGAGAGTCCTAAGTGTTGTCTTTTAAAAGAAAATCAAAAAAGAGAACTACGAATTAGGATTTTAAGGACTTTTCCCCAGTGAACTGGTGTCTTTTGGAAGGTCGATTTGTGTGGGCGCTACCAAGAGTCCCAGGACGCGAGGAGTTTGGGGATAAGGAGCATGCTCCCGGCTGGAAGGGTCGGAGGCAGAGACCCAGACCCGCGCGCCACCGGGAGGTGGCCAGGGCCAAGCAGGTGCAGGGCCACTGGCCGACTCTTCTCTGAGCCGATCCCAGGCCCTCATCTCCTTCCCCTTGGGGGTCCCCAGGGGACAGCCGACCTGGGGATGAGGATGTTGCCTACTCCATCAAAGCCAGGCTGGCCACACAGAGCCCCAGGACAGAGCCTGAGTGTGTGTGTGTGTGTGTGTGTGTGTATGAGCGTGAGAGGGTGTGCTTCAGAAGCTGAAAAGCTGGGAGTTCGAGTCCGAAGCGCCCGTGCTGCCCCCTCTGGGGTCTGCCTCCTGGAGAGGGTGCGGTGGTAGGCGGAGTAGGTGGGGTATTCCTAGGTCCACCCTAGCCTCGGTTGGTCCGCTCACCGCTTGGCTGCACAGGGCCTTGGCGCCCTTGTCCACCCTCTGGCCCACTTGGCACCCAGGGCGCCCCCACCCCACCCCCAGAGACCCCTTCAGGAAATGCAGGCGGGGGCAGTTCTCCTGGCCATCCGCCGCCACCCCCCCCCCCCCCCCGCCACAGGCCCAGGGAAGGAACCACCCAGGGCTCCCCAAGTGGATCCACGCTGCTTTCCTGGAGAGCCCAGGCTTGCGACCCCCACCCGCCCAGGGTCACTGGCCTCTTCCCTTTCACCGGCACCCCCGCCCCCACCCCTCCCCGGTTGCGCTTCCACACTCCGACAGAAAGAACCCCTCTCCCTCCCTCCGTTCTCGGGCTCTGCCTGGCTCCCAGGGTTCCCAGGAGGGTACACCACCCCCAACAAACGTGGGGTGACCCCCTGGGGAGGAGGCAGGGTGGGGTCAGAAATGTGCCCAAGGTCAGCGCCACTGTAGGTGGGGGTGGGGTGTGCACCTGCGAGGACCGGGTAGGGGTCTCCTCAGCACTATCAGGGGAAGAGAGCCAGGGCCAAGGGCTGTCAGGAGTGGTGTGCCCCCTCCAGCCCCACGTTTAAGGAAGCAGCCCTCCTGGGCTCGCAGAGGTGGGACTCCAGAAGCCGGGCTGGAGCAGGCCTCCGGCCACTCTGCACCTCCGTGTCTGCCCATGGGCCAGCTCCCCAGCGCGGCAGCCCCAGGGCTCTTCTGCCTCTCTCACCCCCACCTTGCTCTGACTCCCAGTTCCCTCCCCTCTCTCCCAGCATCTTCCCTGGAGCCCCACAGAAAGGGCTAGAAAAATAACAGGCCGGAAGTTCCTTTTCATTCTGCTTTCATCTGGGGTTTTTCCTTTCTTCTGAAAGCCCCTTCTGTAGCTGACTTTCCCGCCAAGACAGCCCCTGGGTCCCACTCGTCCCCACACCCAGACTCCTCGCTGCCCTGCGGGGGGAGGGTCGGGGAGATCTCTGGGCGCCCACACCCTGTCTCAAGTCCAGCCTGCCCCCCTAACCTCAAGTGCCCTTGGGCCGGTCCCTTCCCGCCCTTGTTGCAGCTCGGGAGCAGGTGGGCCTCCAGCGTGAGTGGGCTGACCGGTCTGTCCACCTGCGTGCAGGTCCCCGGTCTCGAAAACCAAAGAAGAAGAACCCCAACAAAGAGGACAAGCGGCCTCGCACGGCCTTCACCGCGGAGCAGCTGCAGAGGCTCAAGGCGGAGTTCCAGACCAACAGGTACCTGACCGAGCAGCGGCGACAGAGCCTGGCGCAGGAGCTCAGCCTCAACGAGTCGCAGATCAAGATCTGGTTCCAGAACAAGCGCGCCAAGATCAAGAAAGCCGCGGGCAGCAAGAACTCGCTGGCGGTGCACCTGATGGCGCAGGGCCTCTACAACCACTCCACCACCAGCAAGGAGGGCAAGTCGGACAGCGAGTAGGTGCAGAGCACCGATGTCACCCGGCCCAGGGCCAGGGCACACAGGACACCAGCATTCCTAGTGGGAGTGGCGTGTGTTAGCTACGGTTCCGCAATACTCTACGTGTATATAACTTACAGTTGGTGTAAAATCCCAAATCTCTGCTCTGACTATAAAGTATTTTTGAGTTTTTTGTGTTAATGAGATTATGCTAATTTTATGATTTTTTTTGCAAAGGGGTCTGCTTAGGGTTTCACTTTTTTTAATCCTCTAAGCTCCATTATGGGACATCGGACACTTTTTTTTTATTATTTCAAAAGAAGAAAAATTAAACAACTTGCTGAAGTCCAAAGATTTTTATTGCTGCATTTCACACGACTGTGAAGCGAATGAATAGCTCCTATCTGGTCTATGAGTTCTGACACGCTGTCTGTGCTGGCCTGGGGAGGACAGCAGAGGAGGCCTGTACCCACTAGCCCGGGCCTGCCACCCCAGGCCATCTGGGCCTTCAGGAGCACGGGGACCTGGCAGGTAGGAGGGACCTGCCAGGGTCCTGGACAAACTCTGAGGCATAGCTGTGGGGAATGGCCTGCCCTGGGACATCTCCTGTAGTCTCTTGGCCCAGGCCTCTCTTCTGTTCTCCTCCTGCCCTCCTGCCTTCTCCCTCCCTTGTCCTCCTAGCTAAGGCCCATGCATCTCTGTGAGTACTTCTGTCCACGTCTGTTCGCTGTCCCCTGACCCCACTGCAGCCTCACTGTGAGCTATCAGCATCAGTCTTCCTGCCCTGGGCACCACCTCTGTGCATAGTGCCCTCTGAGGGTCCAGGTCCAGTGTGACCTAAAGCCCAAAGCAGGAGGAAACACGCTCCCTGTTCCAGGTCGCACAGGGCAACTTTCTTAGCTCCATCATCCAGCCAGGAGCCAGCTCCAGCCCCGGCACCTGGACATGGCCCTGGTCACCTAGCTCTGGCCAGTCAAGGGCTCCTGCAGAGGGAGTTGGCATGTTTGTCGTTCCTTTTTCTTCTCTCTTTTTTCTTTTCTTTTTGGAGTAGCTGCTTTGGCTATAGAGAACATCCTTCCAGGAATATCTGTATGTGTATAGACATGTGTGTATACATATATGCACACACACACCACTGAACATGTGTAAGTCTCCAGTCCCAAAGCACGTGGCTACCTTGACTTTCAAGGGAACTCAGAACCCTCCAGGATTTAGAAGAAAATGTGTAAATAATCATTTCTTACCACTTTTTGTCTTTTCTTGTTTTTTTAAATATACATTTTATTTTTTGAAGGTGTGATACAGTGTAAATTAAATATATTCAATATATTCCCCACCAAGTACATATATATATATATATATATAAAAACAAA